GTAATGAAAGTCTGACCTCTAATCCAACCAAACTTTGACGGTCTGTTTTCCACTTATTAATAATTTAAAACAAGATACCCATTGTGCATCCTTCCCCAGGTTGAATCTTCAGACTGCAGATCATGTTCCATCGCAGAATGCGCCGTCCCCGACTGACCGAGTATGATAAACTACAGGAAATCCTCTATTCACCAGGACTTATTAACTACTGTCAGGATAAAAAGTTGTTAAGTCGAATTGCAATCTGTAGCTGCGGAAGGGACATGCAACTACAATCGCATGCAGCCTCAGTTGACGCCTGTGCATTCAAGTGTGCGCACTGCAAAACCACAAAGTCCCTGAGAACTGGCTCCATGTTTGCCGATTCCCCCCTACCACTTGATAGGATACTCCAAACTTGCCTCTCCTTCATCCAGGGAACACCGGTCGGTGTGTGCGCGTCGATGTTTGGCCTATCAGAGAGCACTGTAGTTGACTGGTATGCCCTATGTGGGAAGGTCTGTTCGAAGGCCTTGCTGCGTGAAGCGTCATCTCCTCTGGGTGGCCCCGGTGTTGAGATGCAGGTGGACGAATTCCTCCTGAAGAAGTACGAGTTTGGTATCGGGTCGCCGGAAAGCCAAGATTGGTTGATTGGCATGTATGACACCGCCCAGCGCCGAGCCGTGTTTGAGCGAGTTGAGGACAGGCGCGCCGACTGCCTGATACCAGTCATCAGGAAGTGGATTGCCGTCGGAAGCGTCGTAGTGACTGACGACTGGGAGGGCTACCATTCGCTCACATCCCTGGGCTACACACACACTGCTATCAAGCGCTCCAAGAACTTTGTGGATCCAGTCACAGGAAAGCATATGAATGGCGTTAAAGCCTACTGGAGTAACTTGAAGAAGCGGGTCAGAAGAAGTGAGCCGGTGAATGAAAGAAACATTTGGTCGCATCTCGAGGAGGCAAAATACCGGAAGTGGTATGGGCTGAAGTCGGACATCTTCCCGGCCTGGGATCTCTTTGTATCCCATATCGCGCAGCTGTATCCGGTTGAAGAGAATCCAGCTCTACAATCCCCTTAGACACTCACAGAAATCCTATCTGATCTGTAATTTATATATATTTTTTTTATCTAGACTTCTGAACTACCTCACAGGTTTCCTTATTCTCAGTGGCAGTGGTCGGATGGTAGCATGAGCATTACGGGTGAACTCTCACCACAGGGGCGCTGAAGATGTACTGGACCAAGAGAGGGTCGTACTGACTCACGGTGCGCGTTTTTCCAGCAGCGCATGGTCCGCACGTGCACCCAATCCCACTATAAAGCAGCCGATAGGCCCGAAAGAGGCTGAAACTGGGGAATCCATCTCCACGACAAATTAGCGCACTCCCCACTATAATAAATTCTACGACATTTCGGTAGTTATGACTTGCGAGTTTGCCTCGGTCCTCCCAGGACGGAGAGTGAGACTGCAATGGTTCCTTTCGAATGCGGCCTTAATGGCATTCTGTCACACACGTGGCCTCAGAGACGCCGCCTACAGCAGGCTAGAATATGTGTGGCACGCGTATGCGGGCCATTTAAATTTGCCAGTCACTTCATCGGCGCCCACGCCCGGTCATCAGGAAATTGCATTGTCGGGTTAGTTGG